GTCTCTCATCCATTTCGTCTGTGTCAATTCCCAAATCTGTGGGAATAAAAAAACGATGCCTTAACTCATCCTGGTTGGCGTCAAGCTATGATGGATGAATTAAGTGCTTTACAGGAAAGTGGAACTTGGGAGCTTGTCCAATTACCATCTGGAAAGTCTGTTGTTGGTTGCAGGTGGGTGTATGCTATCAAGGTTGGTCCTGATGGCACGATTGATCGTCTGAAAGCTCGACTGGTTGCCAAGGCTACACACAGATTTTTGGTTTGGATTATGGTGATACTTTTCTCCGTGGCCAACCATGGACATCTGTCGCCTTTTCATTGCCATGGCCGTCTTCGCCAATGGCCTCTTTACCACTTGAGTGTCAAAATGCTTCCTCAAATGGATGATTTGCATGAAGAAAGTATATGGAGCAACCGCCCTGGCTTTGTGCTCAGGGGAGTCATTGGATGTGGTATGTCGTCGTCGCAACTCCTATATGGCCCTAAACATCTACTCGGCTTGGTTTGGTGAAATCAGTGGTTTGTTCACAATTGGTAGGTCGCCGTGAAGCGGATAAATTCAGGGTTGCTATGCGCCACTCGAGTGTGGATGTATATATTAATAGGTATGTTGGATGATTGTTCCTCACAGGAAGCGGGACTATCTTGGCATCTCTACAGATGAAACAAGCACTTTGTCATCATTTTCCAAACCAAAGATCTTGGCAAAACTCGGTACTTTTGGGTATTGAGTAGCACATCTAATGATGGTATTGTTCATATATCAGAGGAAGTATGCGTAGACATCTTGAGGAAACCGGGTTAATGAACTGTAATATGTGAGACAACATGACCCTAACATCAAACTCCTACCAAAATCAGGGGGGCCGTTCTCAGATCCTGAACATACCGAAGACTAGTGGTAAATTCAACTATTACTGTTCGCGGCTGACCATTTGCTTTCGCAGTTAGTGTGGAGTTCTAATTTCTAAACTTCCCCATGTGTAAAGACATGGGGCTGCAGTTGTTCGCATACTGAAGTAATTCAAGATCACTGAAAAGGTTTGCTATATGAGCCCTAACAACGATCCAAAAATTTTTGTTATTCAGATGCTGATTGGGCTTGGTTCCACTTAGGATAGGGAGGTCTACTCTGGATATTGGTCTCTATTGGTAGCAACCTGATACTTGGAAAAGTAAGAAGCAAGTGTGTGGCAAGGTCTAGTGCAGCATAGCGAATTATATAAGCTAGGCATCAGCTACTTGCGAGCTTGTGTGCTTAAACAATGTGCTTAGTGCATTGAATTTGGAGATGTACTCACATGATACTAGATGTGATAATCAGTGTACAATCTTAGCTATACCCCGGTTCTTCCATGAGAGAACCAAAAAACATTCGAAGTTGATTGTCTTTCATCGAGAAAAAATTTCATATCGGAGATTCAGACTGAGGTTTGTTAACTCCAGCAACAGTGGCAGACATATTCACTAAGCCTTACGAGGGACCAGAATTGATTATTATGCTTTGTGAACAAGTGGAAATATGATTTATATGCTCCAGCTTGAGGGGGGTGTTAGGAGGTTAAGATGTGTGTTTCTGTTATTGGGCGCAGTCTATGAGTATTAACGGCATTGCGACCATTATCTTACAATATTAAATAAATTACCCTATGTGGATGCAACACACAAGGGATATTCTCTCCAATTTCTCAATTCTCAATCCGTGATCTTCGCCATATAGAGAGCAAATCCATAAGTTTGTGAAGATTGCACTGAGGTAAGCACGATACCTTACCTTGAGCAATGCTCGATACTGTCCTGGCAATGTAAAGAAAGGTTCTAATATTTGTACAACAAATTTAGCCGATCATACACTCGTTCCTGTCTTTTCCAAGTTATGTACCCCACGTGGAATTCCCAAAGGGTAGCAAGATGCTGTGTTGATATACTCACAAATCCAAAGGATCAATTGAAGTATCACTACATGATACTTTTAAGGACGATGATCCAATACATGATTCAGCTCCATAGGAACTTAGGAATTTAGAACTCTAGATGTAAGATACAAAGAGACTGTCTCGAGTGAAATTTGGAAGCTAAAGCGACTGAGACATGTTTATTTGAGAGGGGGAGATGAGGTACCAGAGATAGAGAGGAAAGGTGAATCTTCAAACTCTGGTTAAGGGCTTTTGACAGACGAATGGTGTTCATGCTGAACAGGGACATGCTTATCGTGACATATTTCCAAGATTGAGAAAGCTTGTTTTGCACTATCCATTTCATCGTCCTTCCCACGAACAATTACCAACTGTAAGGTTACCAAGCCTGCAACACCTAAGCAATCTCCATAGCCTAAAAATAATTGACTTTCTAGAACTTCCACCTCACAAAAATGACTTTCCATATCATCTCACCAAGATAACCTGGACACATACGTGTGGGACTGACTTCTCTTTGTTCAGTACTGTACGATGGCTTACCAACCTTCAAATTTTGAAAATAGGAAGGCAATGCTCTGAGGTTTTGGTGCAGGAGAGTTCCCACAACTTCAAGTGCTTGAGATGAGAGGAATGAAAGTGAGAAGCTGGAGATTAGACGAATGTGCAATGCCAAATCTTCAACATCTTCTCATTGAAGCCTGTAAATACTTGAACGATCTTCCTCAACGACTCTGGTCCTTAGCTACTACGACAAGAGCATGCTCTGTTGCCCTCTGAAACATTGGCGAACAACCTTCAACATGTGAAATTGACGACTGCTTGTAAGCTCATAATCTCTCGTTGTTAATCATATGTGATATGAAGTTAGACCCCAATGTCACCTCGTTTACATGTTTATTTATGTTGTTTCGATAGTGTGTTTGGTCTTATATGCTGTGTACCCCCCGTGCTTTGAGACCTTTTCTATTCATTTCTTGATATATCTCTTTGGTTTCTTTTTAGTTTGAGAACAGTTTCTGAAAAAAATATATTCAGGATTGGTGAGACTACATTTTAACTCTATATTTTAAAAAATAATCCGTGACTTAGATTTGTTTCTATATATCAGACAACATTGTATGGATTCCATGTCACACTTAATAATATTCGTGCTCTGGAGATTGAGTCAGTTGTTGAATCATTGAAGACAAAATTCGTTGTTTTTTTTAAGTGATGAGTGGGTTTTATTTGCTTCTGATGATTATCATAGCCTCCAACGTAGCTATTAGGCATGTTTCTATTATGTAGCTGTTTTGCAGGCGTGGGGTCATAGCGTCAAATTTCAATATTGAAGATGGTTGAGTAGCATTGTAGTAGATTTGGCCGAACACTATAAATGACTACACAGGATCAAATGAGCTACTAAGGCCGAGTTGTTGGGAAGCTTGACTACATTTTGTTCTCTTCATCCAAAATATGTAAAAGGATACTTGCAGAAAACATTACTCTAATACTTAAGTTAGTAAATAACCGTTTCGGATGATTAAAAATATATATTGTATGCATGGTGTTCGAAGTTATATTGAGTCTTTATAGTAGTTGTAATGATCCTTTATATTTAGCTGACCTAATAACAACCTAATTCAACTTTAATTTGCATTAGAAATTTAATGAATCATTACTATTGATAATCTGACCATATTATATCTTGATTAACCATTACATGTATGTTTATGTATGTTTTAAAAGAATATATTATGTGAATAACTAGAGCAATAAAATTAATTTTTTTTGGTTAGTTGATAGTATTATTAGTATCTAACACTATCCGGTGTATTAATCCATATGTCAAGTTGATTAGAAAATTGTATTTTAGTGAACTAGAAAAACTGAAGAAAAGATTGTTAGAGAAGGTGGTTCCAACATATTTGTTCAGGGGATAACAGATATTTCGATTTCAAGTAGACAATTATTCAGCCAATTCATCTTCCTATGAGCTTGTTCTTATTCCTAGCTCTACCACCATAAATCCTACATAAGGTATTTTTATACTTCTTCATATATTCTATATTTAAACTCTAAGATATCCTTCCCTCCTCTTCTTTCTATGTTTAAATATTTTATCCTTAACTTCCAATTTCAGCTCTAAATATTCTATCTTTTAACACTTTTATTCCTTTTCCTCTCCGTTTGCTTTTCTCTTTAAATCGTTATATTACATATGATTTATATTTTACAAACGTAGTTGTCTATTTAGGATACATAATAAATTAGCAAAATCAAAATGTAATAATAATAATATGCGTTTTAAAACCAGTCTAAAAAGACATAAATATTGGCAAATGCCAAACTCCAAGTAAGATTTATCATTACAAAAATATTGTCAACGACAAAATAATGTGAAATATATTTTTGTAGTGATATAATCATTCTTAAAACAATTCATAACTAAAAATTGTTTATATTTTATTGAAATCTAATTAAATAACCATAAAATAGTTTTATTTTAAAAGTAAATTTTCTTCTAATTGTTTTACTCACTTTGATTGTCGAGGAAAATATGTCGTTACAAAACGAATAACCTAATAAGTGATTATGTAGTTGTTACAGTATGGGTATTTCTTTTCTATTCTGGAATTAATATAGGTAATTCCTTTTGCAAATGTTAGAGTAGATAACTTGTAGGTGTCTCTCCCAACTAAAAAAACTATAATGAATTCTAGTAAGATATTTTTCTATAATTAAAATATTTAATTTATAATATAATTAAAATTTTAATTAAACTATAAATAAGATAGCTTCACTAGATAAGATTATCTAAAAAATTAAATAGATATGATTAATCACATTTAAATCCAAAAATAAATAAATATTTTTGATGCAATATTAATAAAGGCTAATATACTTCCCTAAAGTTATTTGCAACATGTAGAAAAGGAATTGCCTAATTATTAAGTTATGTTTCTTTAACATAACATGTAAGCATATCTCCACCACAAGTAAGAATCACTTCCTTCTCTATTTATACATGTTTGTTCTTCAGTTCTGCATTAATTTTGTTACATTTTCCATTTTAATCCGTAGAACACGAGAAACTGGAAGTGAGATTGTTTGGCGTATGATTTGGAATCAGTTTATGTTGCGTCGACTTGTATTATGTTATTGTGAAACTTTTAAATCTATGGTGACTTTAAAGTATGAGTATTATGTGGTATATTTTGTAGGCACATCCATAATATTCGAATCTTTGGAAGGATATGGAGTTTGAAGTTTGCTAGAAGAAAACAAATTTTAAGGTAGGTAGGTATGACATGCATATATAAAAATATTATACCATTACGTAACTTGAGTTTTGTTGCCCTAATGTTACTTGAATCGGCAAAGGGGTAGAGCTAGTTTATGCACAAAAGTGAAGAAGGTGAAACTCGACCACTGTATCTAAGAGGTAAGTTCACTGTTATTTCATATCTAATATGCTATTATGAGCTCATTTTATATAAGTAATGATTTGTAAAGTTCATCATAAAGTAATGATTTAAGAACTAAACTAATGTTTGAGAATGATGAAAACTGTAAAAGTTGTGTGAACAAAATTGTTGTGTAAACAAAAGTATATGTTTACTTGTGAAGGAACAATTTTTAGATTATGGACCAAATCACTCAAAAGATTACATTACAAATTTGGGATATGAATTGTATAGATTAGTGAAACTAAAAGTAAATATTAGTTAGTGATTAGAAGTAGGAAAAACATTAGAAAATGCATTTTTAACGAATGATTTGTCTGCCAAAAATTTTAATTAGGGTAAATGGCTTAATAAGGATTTTAACCTTCAATTATATAAAAATAAACATCATTTAATTTTTTTTTGTAGTGTTATATATAGGGTTAAATATGTTTTTAGTCCCTAAACTATTGGTCGTTTCTGATTTTCGTCCCTCTTTCAAAATAAGGTACAATTTGGTCCTCATTCTTTTCGAAAAGTTTGTTTTAGTCCTCAAAACTTTGGTTTTAGTCATTATTTTGTTGACTAAATGAGGACTTAACGGTCTTAGTTTTCGAGGACTAAAACGAATGTTTCGAAAAGAATGAGAACCAAATTGTACCTTATTTTGAAAGAGGGACGAAAACCAGAAACGACCAATAATTTATGGACTAAAAACATATTTAACCCTTATATATAGAATTATATATATATATATTTATATATATATAGATTATATATAATATATGATATATATATATATATATATGATAATCACAAGATCTGTGAGTAGAAAACAATGTTAAACAATTTGTTAAAATTTTGTTTGGTAGTAATTAAGAAGAGTAAAACATGAGAGAAAAATTATATCTTTTGGACTATAGGATATGATAATTCAAGTAGCTTTTTAGTTGAAACTAACTTACAAAGTGATCCAATTATTCCCTAATAAAAGAAAGTGACTTAGACATCACAATTTAAATAACTTTTCCTTTTATTAAGGTTGTTTATACCTATGGTTGAGATGTTTAATTAATTGTAATAGTAAAATAGATAATTTTTTGTGTATAATATCTTATTTTTAAAAGTTATGCAATAGTCATAATATCCTTAAAAATATAATAGATAAACTAATTCAAGTGTGTATGTAAATATTAAAATTTTTGTAAGTATTATTACTATTATATTTTTTACTTTTATAATTTACTGCTATTGTATGAAAGCAAATAAAAAAAATTAATGAATGACCAAACTTATTGAAAGATACATTGACACCCCTTCTTAAAAGGTGTACTGTAAAATGGATTTTAAATAAACTTGCATGATAATCACAGTTTAAACTTTACATCATAGGAAAAATATTATACTTTAATATTATGGCGTTTCCTTAAGTTCTTTTTTCATGTCTAAAAGTAACAATTATGTTAAATAGTTTATAATTTGGTAAAGATGTTGTTGATTTCGTTATTAACCAAGCTTTATTTAAATTTGTATAATTTAATATAAGATTAAACAAAATAAGGCAAAATCAAGTTTTCAAATAACTCTGGATAACCTAAACAATGAGTCTACGAAATATAGTGATCAAGAATTCATCATTATTGTATTTTTCGTCTTCTCTCTTTGCATGTTAAAGAGATAGTTTCAAAGGTATAAATCACAAACCCATTTATTGAGAATAAGAATGTTTTTCATAAATGTAAAAATTGGATATTACTTATTACTCCCTGTTGTAAATTGACGAATGCTCGTACTTAGATACAGAGATAACAAAAATGGTAGACAGTGTTGTTGGCTTCCTGGTGCAGAGGTTGTCACAACTACTTGAAAGTGAAATAAAGCTCCTTTCTGGTGTGGAAGAGAAAATAAAGTCCTTGAGTAATGAATTGAAGTTCATGGATATCTTCATCAAGAGCTCAGAGGGGAAGTACAAAGATGCAGTGGTGAAAGAAGTGGTGACGCAAATAAGAGATGTCGCCCACAAAGCAGAAGATGTGGTGGACACTTACATTCTCAACATCGCCAAACACAAACGTAGAAACAAACTGTGTCGGTTATTCCACCTCAAAGAAAAACTCGTTGTGCCCCATGAAGTCGATGCTGAGATAGAGAAGATCAAGAGTCGTATCGATGATATTTATTAAAACCAGGAGAGGTATGGCATCAAAGAAGGTGAATTCCAAAGCGAAGAAGCAGTTTCATCAGAATGGCGCCGCAAAAGGAGGATGGATGTGGAGGAAGAAGATGTTGTGGGCTTAGTGAATGAGAGCGACATTGTCATTCAACAGCTCCAGAAAGACGATGTGCGTCTTAATTTTGCTTCTATAGTCGGAATGGGAGGATTGGGTAAAACCACTCTTGCCCGTAAGATCTATAACAAGGACAATGTGAAGAGGATATTTCCTTGTCGTGCATGGGGTAACGTGTCTAACGATTACAGGCCCAAGGAGCTTTTTCAAAGTCTCCTGAGGAGCTTAAATCTTTCTGGATTTGAAAATTTAAGCGAGGAGGATTTGAAGAAGGAGGTAGTCAAAGGGTTGAAGGGGAAGACATATTTGATAGTGCTTGATGACATATGGGAAACACGAGTTTGGGATGACATAAAAGGAGCCTTTCCAGATGATAATATAGGTAGCAGAGTGTACTAGTCGGGGGCGGACGCCCATTTCAACACTCGTCGTCAAAGCGGTATATGACCGTCCGCCCATTTCACCATCCAAGTCATAGGACCGTCCGCCTTTTCAACACTTGAAACCTGTGAGATTACATCACCAATGACTAATAGGGAGGATTGAGTACGACAGGACGGGCGCCCATGTCGCGCAGGATGAATAACACATCCCAAGGCCGGCCGCCCAATGAGTAGATCCCGTGACAATGGCCGACCATGCTACTAATCATCTTGGCTTAATGAAAATCGACTCGGTTTAAGGTAAGTAGAGTTTAGAAGCTGTTGGGCTGTCATGGGCCGTGATTAACTTTTCACTAATCCTAAGCCCATAGCGAAAACTATAAATACAAGTCCAGGGTGAGTGGTAGAAAGGGGACATTAAATGCATATTTATTACTATCCCTGAGAAAAGCCATCGCTCTGAAACTGACTTTGGCATCGGAGAATCTTTTGCAAGTCTCCCCCCCTCAGGATCAAGAAGGAAACTAAGACTTGAAGAGAAGATTAGCCACAGGAGCAAGATAGCAGGAGAACTCGGAGATTTGGAATAGCACAGCCCTACACATCCGAAACATTTGGCGCCCACCGTGGGGCCGTGTGATTTTAAAAACCCAATGGTGACCACGAGAAACATGAGCATGGACGACCCTGTGGAGATGATCAGAGTTTTACAGCAAAAAATGGATGAAATGCAGCAACGACATGAGGACGAGTTGGCGGCGGTGAAGGCCGACTGTGAAGCCCGGATAGCCCAGGAGGTTGGAAGGGAAGATGAAGGAGAGGAGCGAGCGGATAAAGGAAAGGCGACGGCGGAAGAACGTACGCCTCAAGATACCGAGTGTGATAAAACTTGGAGGCCTACCGGGTCAGAGGCGGAGGGAAGTAAAGCTAAATCGGTGCATGCAGAGAGCGCTGCCGAGGATAGACGAATGGTGGTGAAATCGGAGCCCTCATCCACTTTGTTACTTCCCTTCACCCAAAACATAATGGATGTCCAAATCTCGGAACAATTTGTGGCTCCACAATTTAAAATGTATAATGGCACGACGGACCCCGAGGCCCATATCAAGACATTCTCGAATGCAATGGCATTCCGAACGGGCAATGATGCCATTTGGTGTCGAGCGTTCTCGCTTTCATTGGAGGACGAAGCATTGGAATGGTTTAACACCCTCCCTCCTAATTCCATAGAGAATTTCGCTGGACTGAAACAGCTGTTCATTAAACAATTCGCGGCCAATAGTACCCAAGACTTGACCGTATTCGAATTGGTTACCCTCAAGCAGGGGAAGGAAGAAACGCTATGGGCGTTCATGGATAGATACCAGAAAACCGTCCGGCGGGTAAAGAGCCTGACACCAGAGCTCGCCCTCCACTACATTCTACTGGCCCTCAAGCCGGGACCGTTCAAAGATAGCGTCTGCAGACGAGCGCCTAAGACGATGGAAGAGTTGAGAGAGCGGGCGGCAGATGAAATAAGGGTAGAGGAGATGAAGCTCTCCTATAAGAGGGAGAACCAGGAGACGAGGGGGGAAAGGGCGGACGGCGGTAAGCCCGGTGCCTCAGCAGGAAAACCGTCTGGCCCAAGACATAAGGAGCAGAGAAGATGACCCCGCTTCCAGCAATACACCCCCCTGAACGTCCCAAGGGAGAAAATCCTTCGGGAAGTGCTGAGTGCAGATTTGATCCCGGAGCCGGAGAGGCGCCCAACCCCGAAGGGTGCAGACGGGAGCAAGCACTGCGCTTACCACAAAAATATGGGTCACACCACCGAGGAGTGTGTGACCCTCAAGGATAAAATAGAGGAACTCATCCGGGCGGGAAAGCTCAAGAAGTACGTACGCGATGAGCGTCCTCCACAACCGGCAGAACGACCTGCACAACGATCGGGTTACCGTTCGGACAGGCCGAGGAAATCAAGGACCGAGCGACCTCACTCAGAGCGGCGACATAGCCGAAGCCGCAGCCGAAGTCGAGAACGCCCCCTGCGGGGGCACATCAACACAATTTCTGGAGGGTTCGCGGGGGGAGGATCGTCGTCCTCCGCTCGTAAACGCCACATACGAACCCTCCAATCTGTACACCTGGTGGACAAACCACGTCGCACCATGCCACCCATCACCTTCTCAGACGAAGATTTCCACGCGCCTGACCCCGACCAGGACGATCCGATGGTCATAACCGCCGAGATCGCACGTTATGGAGTCAGCAAAGTCCTGGTTGACCAGGGAAGTTCAGTCAACATCCTGTACTGGAAAACCTTCCTGCAGATGGACATCTCAGAAGATGTTATCGTCCCCTATGATGGGCAGATTGTGGGATTTGCAGGAGAAAGGGTCGATACTAGGGGGTATGTGGAGTTGAGGACAAGGTTGGGGACCGGCCGCTCTAGCGAGGAGAAGAGGGTTCGGTATCTGCTGGTTGAGGCAAACACCTCGTATAATGTATTGCTCAGACGGCCATGCTTGAACGCGTTCGGAGCGATCGTCTCTACGCCCCACCTCACGATGAAATACCCCTCCAAGAAGGGAATTATATGCACGGTCCGGGCGGACCAGAAGACGGCCCGAGAGTGCTATGCTGTGGGTTTAAAGTTGCATACCCGGCAAACGAAGCGAAGGGCGGTCGGTTCTGAGGTGGCCATGGCGGACCTCAATCCCAGGACGAACACGGAAGACCGCCTAGAACCAATGGGAGAAACCCAACCTGTCTTGATAGGAAGGGATCCCACCCAGACGATCGTCATCGCCAGGGAGCTGAACCCTGGATTGGAGAAGGAGTTGAGGGCACTCCTATGGAAGAACATGGATTTATTTGCCTGGACGACGGTCGACATGCCCGGAATCCATCCCGCGGTCATGTGCCATAAACTCTCGCTTTTTAAAGACGCCCGTCCGGTCGCTCAGAAGAAGCGAAGGATGGGCGAAGAAAAACGAGAAGTTGTTCAAGAGGAAGTGAGAAAGTTGAAGGAAGCTGGTTTTGTCCGAGAAGTCACTTATACTACGTGGTTAGCCAACGTGGTAATGGTGAAGAAAGCAAGTGGGAAGTGGCGCATGTGCACCGACTATACTGACTTGAATAAAGCGTGCCCGAAGGACTCCCATCCCCTACCCAGCATAGATGCCTTGGTGGACGGCGCCTTCGGACATCGAGTGTTAAGCTTCCTATATGCGTACTCCGGATATAACCAGATACCCATGTATGGGCCGGACGTCGAAAAGACGGCGTTCATCACAGAGAAGGCTAACTTCTGTTATGAAGTGATGCCGTTCGGCCTGAAGAACGCAGGGGCGACATACCAACGCTTAATGGACAAGATCTTCCGGGAGCAGATAGGCCGGTGCATGGACGTATATGTGGACGACATGGTCGTCCGATCCTCGGATGAACATGGGCACATCAAGGACCTGGAAGAGGTGTTTCGCCAAGTAAGGAAGTTCGGCATGCGTTTAAACCCCGCCAAATGCACATTTGGGGTCGCCGCCGGAAAGTTCCTGGGCTTCATGTTGACGTCCCGGGGAATCGAGGCTAATCCGGACAAATGCGAGGCGATACTGCAGATGCAAAACCCGACCACCCTTAAGGAGGTCCAAAGGCTCATCGGACGCCTCACCGCCCTGTCGCGGTTTATTCCCAAATTGGCCGAGAGGGTAAGACCGGTCCTGCGCAAATTGACACTGTAGTGTGGCCTAAAACAAATGTTTAAATGTCATATTTTCTCAAAATATAGATTTCTGTAAACCAATATCTTAGAAGAGAGACAATAAGTATAAAATTTATAAGATCCCATTAGTTAAGGTTATGTTTGACCCGGCTTACTATTTACTTACAAGCTACTCTAAAGTTAAAGCTAAAAATAAGAAGTTTAAAAAAGTAGAAGATGTTTGGTAGTCATATCTTAAAAACTCCTAAGCAAAAAGATTTGGTTCATTGTTCCACATCATCAATTAGTTCAGGAAGAATTGAAGGAGACTAAGGAATGCAGCTCATTAGTAAAAACTACTGTACTTAGCATTTTTTTTAAAAGCTATTTTTCCTCCCTTTTCCTTTATTAAAATTAAGGTCCTCATCTTTTTAAGAGCTTGTGTTTGGCAAAACTTTTCCTTTAAAGGGGAAGGAAAGCCAAAAGAAAAGTTGGGCCAAACAGTACCTACATTTATGGCTTAAATACTAGTTATAATGACTTGGGCAAGCTTCGAAGGTTGATTCAGCCCATCAGATGTCAATTCTAATAATAGTAAACATAACTATCTGTTCATAA